AAAGGTGCTGAAAGAGGAGAAAGAGTGAAAACCTCAAAGCGCCTCTCACCCACACCTAGGAGAATTCCGCGCATCGGCCCCGTCCCCCACAGCACCCAGCGCCGCGTGACACAGGAGGAGCTCAGGGCGCTCAAGCGCTGTGTGAGTACAGAACTTGCGACTCGTTCGCAATCTAACTGACCGACGGCGTGACTAGAACGGAGCTTAACGAAGGCAAGGTAACAGACCATTCTGTCTGAATTCAAGTATGAAAAATTCTTCTACGTTATTAAGCCATATGAAAAATCACATTAGATTAATGATATTAATGTGTTGTTAGTTACCTTTTGCTTCTCAGAGTGATTGCTGGCTTTTTTGGTTGCTTCATTCAGTAATTCTTCATACTGTTTATGACCTTTATATTCCCGTACCCGCTTTTCATGAACCCAAGCCCTCTCTGGCTGGTTGCTAAAAAATTGGACGTGATATTCCCGGGCACCTGGAAGTAAAAATTCTTATTAATTATTTCAGAATGTAAGTGCCCACATTCATATGCTTTACAGAAAATGGGAATCTCGGCCCAGAGCAGTGGGGCGCACCGTGAGGACACTGAGCTCCCTTGCAGGCTGGGACCACGGGGAAGGCCTGGGTTTGACTTCCAGGCCAACCTAAAGGTGGGTGAGAGCATGCACCTGTAATCCCACAGACTGGGAAGCTGAGGAAGGAAGGCCATGACACAATATACTGTTCAAAGAAAAAATAGTGGGGGCAGGGGCGCTAACCCAGGTTATGAAATATTACTCTATTCAACTTTTACGTTTGGGATTGTCCAAAGATATATTCCAGCACCTGCCAATTACGCAACTAATAGCTACTATAAAAATCATTTCAAATGATTAAAATTAGTACAGCCAGGTTCTGAGAAAAAGAAGCAGAAATCCTGCCAATTATTAGATTTATTACCCTGGTTACATAATTTTTAAATATTGTGCTACAGAGTGCATGCACTCGCCAGAGAGAGAGAGAGAGGGAGGGAGGGAGGGGGGGAGGG